TGTGCGATGGCATGCTGTGTACCGTAAAAGAGGCTCTGTAGATGCTAGAATTCATATGAGTAATTTATTGAGAATTTAATGAATCATGGCAATGAGTGCGTGTTTATTGTTTTGTATTTCCGTAGACATCAGAGCCCAACACAAAGCTAATTAAAATCATTTTTGGTTCTTTTGTTTGGCGTGTGCTGCGATCTTTTCCATATCATTTCTTCATCTGTTTTCGTCTTTTACAATCCATGCCACCGTATCAAACACTTCCTGCACAGTGCGAGCCAGAGACTCATCGCCTGTCATCCCGTCAACCGACAAGATAACCTTTCTTCCTTTATCTTCTATCACAAGCCCTTTTTCCGTGAGCTCTGATGTAAAGTAGTTGGCCAGTATCTGTGCTACAGTCTCCAGACAGTGTTTGGGTATCGGGTGCACTGGTGTGCTCTTTTTTTCGCTTTCCTCTTTCTTCTCAGTGCTTTGCGCAGCATCTTCTGCGTCTTCATTTTTCTCTTTTTTATTCACCGGTATCTGCACCGAGTACTTCCCGAGCACTGCATCATTTATTGCCTTTATGATGCAGTTAGCAAGCACGTCTGTTCTGAACGAGCTCTGCCACTGGACTGTGATAGACCCTTCCATGTCTTCGAATATCTCCACCCCGTCTACCTTCATGCTCTTCCTTCCGTCTCTGTCTTTTATATCGGGCACTGTGTCAAATATTCTGTCTATCTGGCTTATCAGCAGCTGGAAGGAGACCCCCTGCATCTTTGCTTTTTCAACTATTTTTATCTCTGACATTCCCAGTTGGGAAATATTCTCTCTTTTTACAACCGACACTTTTCCATCTTCGGCTATGTGCATAAACCCAGAGAACTCACTGGGCAGCTCAGTCCCCAGGTACTTCACGTTCAGCTCCCCTGTGCCTTTTATCTGCACCCACTCTCCGTTTCTTGGCGTGTGTATCACAATGTTCTCGCTCCTTGCTTCGCTCCTGTGCACCAGAGCGCTTTTCAGCCTGTTCATCTCCGATGACTCTCCGTGCACCAGGACAACTTCAGAGACTTTGCACTCCTCAATGAACTCTGCGTTTTGTATGAAGTCCACGTGCGCGCTGAAGGAGATATAGTCTATTGATGATCGGACAACCAGTCTGTTCCCTTTTAGCGAGGTGATCTCTTCTGGCTCGCACAGTAGATCCTTTGCGAGTGTGCCTTCCACACAGTACCCTGGGATAATGCATCCGTTCCTCTTATCTCCGCACCACAGCTCAAAGAGATCCCGAGAGAGCCCGCTTTGCAGCATGCCCGGGGATGCCATCATCACACACGGCCCTCTGTCTTCGTATGCCTCTATGTTTTTGATGCTCTGCACGTGTTTGAAGTGAAACGGGTTGCTTATCTCTGCTATCCCCTGTATTCTGTCGTTCATCATGTTGAGGTATGTCTGGTACACTGCCATAAACCTCTTGGCTAGCGCAGATGCGTACAGAATAGGTATGCCCTGCAGGTCTTTTCTTGACTCCCAGAACTCGTCAAGGATCAGGAGGAGCTCCTGTGCTCGGCCCAGGGCAAACACAGGCAGCAGACACTTTCCTCCTCTTTTTACAATGTCTGATACTCCTGAGATAAACCGAGACTCTCTTTCTTCTTTGCTCTGGTGGCACTGCACGCCGTACGTGGACTCGGATATAAGAATATCCACTGCCATGGGAGGTATGACTGCTGCTTTTAGGTGTCTGTCTTCCTCTCGCGAATAGTCTCCTGTGTATAGCAAAGAAATGTCTTCATTTTTCACGAGAAACATGGCTGCTCCGAGGACATGCCCTGCGTTGTACGCAATTATCGTAATGTTCTTCAGCTTTATTTCTTGCCCGTAGTCAATTGGGATGATTTTATCGTAGCACTGCGCTAGCTCTTTCTCTGTAAAAAGATCGTTCTCTGAGGACACGTTAGAGACTCGCACGTAGTCATTCAAAAGCCACCTGAAGATAGCTCGTGTGGGATGGGTCATGTATATCTTTCCTTTGAAGGAGCTTCTTTCTGTGAAGTACGGGAGCGCGCCTGCGTGGTCCAGATGGAAGTGCGTTATGAGAATCACATCCACTTCTGCTGGATCGATAAGATCAAAAAACGGGAGAGAAGACACGCCAGTGTACGCAGGATGCACCCCGCAGTCAAACATAACGGTGACTCCTCTAAACTTTGTTATTACGCAGGATCTGCCCACTTCGCTGCCTGCGCCTAGCGGGAGTATTTTTGCTGCTGTTTGGCAAAGAGTTGGATCCATAAAAATTAAAATTTGTGGAGATGTTTGTATGCCGATTTGAAAAGTGCGAAAAGTCTTTCAAGAAGCCGTCTCTGCTGGAGCTGCACGAGAACGTGCATTTAAACAAAAGAGTCTTTGTGTGCGGCGTGTGTGGGAAGGGCTATTTCAAAAACAGCCATTTGAAAGTTCACTTTCTCAGATCTCACACAGAAGGAGAGAGCAGAGCGTGCGATGCATGCGGAAAGATGCTTGCCTCTGAAGAAGGCCTGAAAAGACACAAGGAAGTGTGTGGGCGCACTTTCACGTGCGAGGTGTGCAAAATGGAGTTTGTGCGAGCTAAGTGGTACCTCACGCACATGCGAGGATGTGTTGGAGAAATGCGCCCAGACGGCGCAGAGCCGTTGAAAGAAGAGGAGAGACCAAACAGAAAAAAACAAAAAAAAGCTAGAAAAGAAGAAAAAGAGCTGCACAGATGCACAGTGTGCCACAGAGGATACAAAATAAAAAGAAACTGTGTGTACCACGAAAAGCACGCGCATGGAGGTGTGCAGTATGAGTGCTCCAAGTGCAGCAAAGTGTACAAGCACAAAGGCTCTCTTACAAGACACATAGAAAAAGAGCACAAGAGCTCTTAGAGCACAGAGGATATAACCTAGCAACATAAAGTAGAGACATGTTATACGTTAATATGTGAAGAGTTTGCTGAAAGACGAGTGAACAGGATAGAAGACAAGCGAAGATTAGAGAGTACAGCTTAAGATGGATAAATAGTAGTGCACTAGAGTAAATAAAGAAATTTAGACGTAAATGAACAGATTGCACTGAGATCATTTATTTGTTTATATAGTGCTCTGCAGTAAATACTGCATGAAGATTAAAGAGTGCATACAGAAAATAGTTGGAAGAAGCATTTTTGACAGCAGAGGTGTTCCTACGGTGGAAATAGACATGCAGACTGTGCTAGGGAAAGTACGGGCTAGCTGTCCGTCCGGGGCATCCACGGGCTCCCAGGAGGCTCTGGAGATAAGAGACGGGGATATGTCCGTGTGCATGGGGAAAGGCGTGCAGAAGGCGCTTATTGCAGTGGAGGAGATAGCAAGCCTCCTGATAACAAAAGAAACAAGAATAATCGATCAGAAGAAGATAGATGGTCTTATGGTGGAGCTTGATGGCACAGAAAATAAGAGCAGACTCGGAGCCAACTCGATTCTCCCTATTTCTGTGTGCTTTGCTAGGCTGGGAGCCCTTTACATGGGAATGGAGGACTGGATGTACCTAAGAATGCTTATAAACGATGACAAAGCACCGATAGATATGCAAAGTGCCTCTAGTGCTACCTCTACACAGACAGAAGAAGTGAAGAGACTTCCACAGGGCGGTGTTGTGATAAGCAATACGAACACCAATAATGCATCGTACAGCTCGAAGGATCAAGTGGCAAGAAAGGAAATGGCTAAGAAGATAGCTGAAGAGTACGACAGTAAGTACGTTAAAAAAGAAGAGGTAGAGAAAAGAAGACAGGAGGAGAGCACCCGCAACAAAAAAACAAAAAAAGAAGAATTTGGAAAAGACGCAAAAAAAACAAAGATAAGCTTTCCAAAGATATTCTTCAACGTGATAAATGGAGGAGCGCATGCAGACAACGGACTATTTGCACAGGAAATAATGGTCTCCTTCGAAGGATCCACGCCGTACAAAGTCCTGACACTGGCCTCTGAGTTCATACATACGCTGAAAATAATCGTAAAAAAAGAGTATAAGCTGACAGGTGTGGGCGATGAAGGCGGCTTTGCTCCTCCAGTGAGCTCTTTGGAAGAGGCGCTGGATCTGATCCAGGCTGCGTCCAAGAAGTGCGGCATAAAGCCTGTTATTGCCCTAGATGTGGCAGCATCTGAGTTCTACCAGGACGGAAAGTACAATGTTGGATGGAAAACAAAGAGCAAGCTGCTCACATCAGAGGAGATGGTTGCTTATTACCTGAAAATCATTGACACGTACAAAATATCAATGATTGAAGACCCGTTTGACGAGAAAGACTATGCGGGCTGGAAACAGTTCATGAAGGCTGCTGCAAAAAAGAGCGTGCAGGTGGTTGGAGACGATTTGATTGTGACAAACAAGAAACTCATTAAAAAGGCAGGGGAAGAGAAGCTGTGCAACGTGGCTCTGATAAAGATGAACCAGATAGGAACAGTCTCAGAGACGATTGAAGCAGTGAAAGAAGCGAGAAAGCAGGGAATGAAGGTCATGGCCAGCCACAGGAGCGGAGAAACAGAGGACACCTTTCTAGCACATCTCTCTGTGGGGCTTGCAGTTGACTATCTGAAGGCTGGGTCACTCTGCAGGACAGAAAGAGTCTGCAAATACAACGAGCTTGTTCGAATATTTGAAAAGTCTAAGATAGACACGATATGACCGATATATAAAAGATCTAAACCAGCGAGCACTTATGGTAAAATATAAATAAACCCATAGCATTTCCATCTTTTTTATCTCATTCTTTTACACTATTTGTTCTATGTTCTCCCCAATCTCCTGTTTAAATTTGCAGGTCAATTGCAGCACATTGAATTTTGCTCTGAAGGTCTACGAAATAAAAAAGTGTAGAGAATAACATTTTATTTTTAGAAAACACTCAGAAAATTACAATATTATACTGGAGAAAATTAAAACTTTTCTGTGCTGTGTTCCAGAGAATAGATAATCAAGAAAAAGGTGTATAGTTGATAGGTTTATTTGAATGAATATACTCTCTATCTCTGTTTATTTTTGCTTTGTTTCTACGTTGAGACTTTCGCTTTCGGTAGAGGGGCTGTCCTTCCCTACCAGTCTGAAAGTAAGGAAGAGCGAGCCTATGAATATGGTAAAAAGACCAGAAAGGAAATATTTAAACTGCGAGGAGGTGAACATGGAAAAGTCGCTGAAGTATATCCCAGCAGTCGTTACGCTTGTAAGTGTCCACAGAATGTGGAACACGGGGATAACCAAAAGAGCATCGTATCTCTTAAGCGCTTTGTTCAGCCAGTATATCTGTCCAACCGTGCAGGAAAAGATTAGAAACATAAAGAAGTACGGCCCAGGGCCTGCAAATTGGTTCTGCCCAGAGGCCGTTAGACTGATCATTACGCCAAGACTTTTTGCGAAAAGCGTGGTAAAAGAGGCAATGCACGCGGAGAGACCCACATACGCAAAGAGCATGAAGTATTTCAGACAGTATCCATTCTTGCTGAAGTTGTGCGTGATGGAGACCCAGGGAGCGCCAGTGCCTATTTTCCAGTCGCTGTTTTCTTCCACAATTGTGCACACTACAAATAAAACTATGATGGTGGTGATCAGAAACAAAAACCAAAGGAAAGTGGCAGGAGTGAAGTATCTCTTCAGGAGCCCAATGAGCGTGTAGGACCTTTTTCCTCCCCCAGCATTGGAGAGAATCAGAGAAGACCCCAGGAGAACAAAGACAATGCTCATGAAATCATAGAAAGTGAAGACCTCCTTGTTTATCATGGGAGCAAAGATGCTGTTGGCAATAAGCCCCACAGCGCCAAGCGAGGTCATCAGCGACTGGTTTCCAAAGACGTACGAGCTAAACCCTGATAATTTTCCCAAAATGTATATAACTATTCCAAAAATGAACAAATTAACGGTAAATCCAAAAAAGCGATCTGTTGGCATTCTGTACGACTTTTTCTGGAAGTTCAGCCCGATGTTTATGAAAAGATTGCCTGTTATGGAAAGAAGAGGGCCCATGGCCCAGAACCTGCTGAAAGAAGGCACGCACACAGGGCCCTCGTCCTTATTGGAGCAGATGAACCCAGAGGTGCATCCGTTTACTCCCACAGGCCTATTCACGCTGCACGCTGATCCCGTGGGCACAAATCTGCAGCAGAATCCATCCTTGCACTTTTCGCTGCAGGCCAAGGGCCCAAAGAAGGGATACGAAGCGCACTCACTTGGCGAGCTGCAGGAGGCTCCAGGGGGCTTCAGCTGTGTGCACTGACCCTCTACACAGAAGAGACTGTGCGCGCCAGTGATTTTAGATATTTGGCAGTCTGTGTCTATCCTGCAGCTGTTAGCTGCGACATCCTCTACACTGAGCAGAAAGAGAAGGGCACCAAGAATCTTGCAATATCCATACATAACAATAAACAAGGGAGAGAGGGAAATAATAAACAAACAAAGAAGACCTGGGTGAGTTGGTGTACACCACAACAAACAAGGCTATTAGTACAGAGTAAAGGATATAGAGGAGTATTTAAATATTTGCGCTAATTTAGTTTCTGCAGGATTGGAGATGAATTTACATCATAAATTATATGGCGAAGAGAGAGCAGTAGAAAGAGAATAGAAGAGTGCAGAGTCTAAAGGTACACCCTTTGTGCTTTCAGATCATTAAGATAAATGGGACAGAAAGATGGACTAATTCTCTGGAGAAAAAGAGACTGCAGGATAAAGAGCCTCTGCAGACTTAATAAATATTCTTAAATATTTTACACCTCACTCTATTTTTTTATGGCAGATGCACAGCCCACGTGGAAAGAAAGAGTAGAAAAGTACAGAAAGACGGAAGAGCAGTGGAAAAGAAAGCCCCAGGGGCACGCAGAGGTGATCTTGGAGATAGTCAAAGAGACATCGGTGCCTGCCCTAGAGGCCGGACTAGCAGCTATTATCCCATTGGCCAAGTCAAATGCGCTGCATGAGTACACAAAAGACGTTCTAAGTGTGGTGTATAAAAACATCGCATCAACAAAGCCAACAATGAAGAAAATGATAAGAACCATAGTAGAATCACAGGCTAGATACAAGCCTTCTCTTGTGGTGATGGGCGCACTGCCGTACATCAGAGACAAGAACCCAAAGATAGTAGCAGAAACAGTGAAGACCCTCGCAGATCACTCAAGCCTGCTGAAAGAGCATCTGATGGCACCTGTTCTACCACACGTGCAGTTCCTCTTTGGTCACAGCGTAGGGGCAGTGAGAGAAGAGGCCACTAGGCTCTTCCAGATACTTGCGGTGGAAGACCCAGAGAGAATCGGAGAAGCCGTTAAGTCTCTGCGGCCGATACAAATAAAAGAAATATTCCAGACACCAGAGAATACTGAGAAGGAGGCATCGCAGGACACACAGGAGGGCTTAAAAACAGAGAGTAAAGAGGAGAAGCATCAGGTGCAGACACAAGAAGCACTGAGGGAACAGTCTACAAGCAGAAACAGCAGCCAAAGCAGCCAAGGAAAGGCGGGTGCAGCGGGAAACAGTGCAATTACTAGGCCAAATGCAGAGAGTGCTAATAGCAGCAGTAAAGAAACAGCGGCAAAGAAGAAAAAAACAGAAGAAACAAAAGAAGTAAAAGAGTACAGAGTACGATCACTGCCCAATGAGTTCTATGAAAGATTTGCATCAGCGCAGTGGAAAGAAAGACTGGTGATGGAAGAGCTGGATGAGCTACTGGGAGAGACTGGAAAATTAAGCAGGAATGATACATTTGATGTAATAGATGCAGTTATGAAGAAAACAGGAGAAAGCAACAACAAAGTGTTTATCGCTGCCATGTCGGTAGTGGCTAAGATAGCGTACAGAGAGAAAGTGCAGGAGCCGCAGGCTGTGCACATAGTCAAGGCAGTGGGGAAGAGACTGAAGGACAAGAAAGAGCAGGTACAGCAGTCGGTTACTTCTCTGATAGTGGAGCTGCTGAAGATGTACAAAGTATCGGTGCTATCAGAGCTATCAAATATGGCAGTCTCTGACAAGACACTCAGACACGGTGTGCTGAAGACACTTGAAAAAGGCGTAGAGATAGCAGGAGAAAAAGACATAGAAGACTCAAAGACTTTTAAAGCACTGGTTGCGTGCACTAAAGACCAAAGTGCAGACATAAGGTCTCTTGCATGCCTGTGCATTTCCAAGGTGCTTCTTAAGAGAGAGGAGGCACCAACGCAGGGGGAGATAGAGCAGTACGGAGTGGAAAGGCTCTTAGCTGCCAAAATAGAGGCGCAGACGGAAGAAATGTTCAAACAGAAAGATGAAGAAATCACAGCAATAATTGAGTCGATATGCGAGGACATAAGAAATACCTCGATAAAGCCTGTAGATCCCGTCACGCCAATAAAGCCCACAGGCACATCGGAGCACGGGAATATGTGCTCCAGCCCAATCATCACGCAGTCGCTGAAAAAGAAGCAGGAAATGCAGCCCACCCAGGATAAAACACCAGAGAATATATTTGCAGACTATCCACCAGTGAAAGAATTCGCAGCAGGAGAGACAGGTAGTATGCACAGAGCAGAAAGAGAAGAAGAGACAGGTGCAAATACTTTTATGCAGTATGTGATGGAAGGAGTGGTTAGTGCAAATGCGCTATACGTGCTCATTAGCACGCTTGGACAGAGTGCAGAGGTTGACACAAGGATTATAATGGTGCTTTCTTCTGTAGATCTAACAGAAGAGATGGCTCTGAAGATAAGAGAAAAAACAGAAGGATTTGAGTGGGAGGACTCCAAAACAGCCTTGGTGGCAGAGGAGCTGAAGGCCAGAGTGAACAGGATCATAGGAGAAAAGAGCTCCTTCGAAGAAAAGTGTCTGTTCGCTGCGCTGTGCGATGCTCTCATGAAGGGAGAGAAGGTCCCGCAGGAGGAGATCATCAGAGCACTAGAGCTCGCAGAGAAAAGAGAAACAATACTCAAAGAGAACCAGGCGCTGCTCATCATAAAGGTTGCAGGGGAGATGGAGTACATGGAGGTGTTTGAAATGCTTGAAAAAGTTTTCCCAATCTCCAAGGCGTTTACAATTCTCATTTCGCTCTCTGAGAACATGCCCATATTCATAAACAGCATACACTTTCTGCTGCAGAAGGGAGTGATTCTCCCAAACTCTTCGATAGAGGCTGCAGTTAACAACCCTCGATTTATCTCTCTGCTTGAGAAGGCAGGGACAGCGTCAGCACAGAACATACTCACCATTCTGAAGAAAGACAAAGAGACAATGGTCTATTCACCGTACGCTAAAAAAATCAGAAGATCAGAAGACACAACCGATATAAATATTTTACTGAACGACATCATAGACCAGAATAATGCGCAGTCCAAGGAGTCTCTGAAGAAGCTAGAAGAGCTCTCTGAGGAGAGCCTCAGTTCCCTTCTGAAGAGCGCCTCTACGGTTGTAAATGTTCTTCTTCTGCAGCTGAATGACTCGCTCTCATCAGGAGGGCCGAGCTTGAATGCGAACACTATCATTAAAATAATCAAAAGAATATGCGAGAGCGATGTATTCCTATCGACCCTTGACGCAGGCACACTTATGAGCCTCGTTTCAGACTACATTGTGATCATAACGGGACAGATACCCAGAGGATCATCCTCGCCCGAGGGCATCAAGAAAGAGTGCGGAGAAAGCCTCCTTAAAATGTGCATAAATGCTCCGTTCTTGAACATGTTCAAGATATACATGAATCTGCTGTCCAACCGGTACAGAGAAGAGAAGGTCAGAGAGATCCTTGTGAAGCTTCTCTGGAAGCACTCGAAGATCTCAGGGCAGGCTGTATCAGATAGAGGAGTGGTGACAGGAATCCTTGCCAGACTGAACAGCTTCTACACAGAGTTCAAGGGAGACATAAAGAGCGACCAGCTAATTTCGAAAGTTCTGCAGCTGCACCTCATAGAGATCCTGAAATACTACGGAGAGGACCTGCTCAAGCTATTTAAAGTGTCAGGGCCTGTTCTCCAGCAGATCCATGCACTGGGGGGCGCGAAAATATAAATAATCTAATCTGAAGAGACCTTCTTTCTTTCTTTTGCTCATTTATTTATCTGTTTCCCTTTTGATAGAGCTTGATCTCAGGAATTATGTTAATGACAAGCTCAGATCAGTGTGCTCATAGTCTATAGAACATACTCTATTCTTAGCACAGTAGACTGGAGGTAAACTCGTGTGTCTCTTCTGTGTCTCTTGGCTCAATTCTTAGTTAACTCTTAGGCTGTTTTACAGTTCTCCTATTTACTGGTGGAGGCGCAGTAAAAGATGGAAATAGAGCACAGAACAGAAAAATAAAAGAAAAAACTATCATAGGACACTCATAGACCGCACATTTGTAGACCATGCAGATTTGTACGTATTTTCATTTTTACTTATTCATGCAAGAAACTGCAAAAAATATTTGCATGCTACTCGATAGAAAGCTCAGAAGAGAAAGAAGAGAATGGCTGGACTCGGTGAAAACAGAGGAGAGAAGAATGGAGTCAAAAAGAAGAAAAGAGCAGCTGTACAAATCCTACGAAAGAGACGTGGTGGTGCCAAGAGAAATACGAAATGACATAGAAGACGAAAAGCTAACGGCTGAAGAGGCCCTGCAGGATGCGATCTACGCGTTTGGGCCAGAGGAAAAAGAGGACGAGTTCACAAAAGCAGAGTCTCGGCCCGTAATCACCACGTCAAGATCGCCATCTGCTCCGCTAATAAGATTTGCAAAGATGCTAAAGCACATACTCCCCAGCGCAGAGAAAATAAACAGAGGAAAGCACATGATCAAAGAGCTAGTGCAGACAGCAATAAAGAACAACCACACAGACCTGATCATGGTGAACGAGCACAGAGGCATTCCTTCGTCGCTGATCATATCGCATCTGCCGCACGGGCCAACGACGTACTTCAGCATTCACCACCCAAAGATCGACACAGAGGAGCCCATAAGCACAGCGGTTCCTGCAGTGGTGTTTGACAATTTTACGACGCCGCTCGGGAAAAGAGTGCAGAGAATCCTCTCCTCCCTCTTCCCCGCGCTTACGCCCAGAGAGAAGCCGAAAAGAGTGGTGAGCTTCATCAACAGAGAAGACAGCATTCTCTTCACGCACTTCAAAACCAGCTTCACAAAGGGCGAGCCATCCCTGCAGAAGCAGTCACCGCAGTTCACCCTAAAGCTGTACGAAATAAGAGCCGGCACCCTGGACATGACATACGCAGAGAAAGAGTTCGTGTTTAGGCCGTACCTGAACACCGCCAGGAAGAAGCTGTACCTCGGAGAAGAAACAGACGATATAACCACAGAAGAGGCAAAAGAAAAAGAAAATCAGGAAAAAGAAAAAGAAAAAGACGCCATCAGAGACGAAGAGGCAGAAGAGAAAAGAGAGAAGAGGCGCTCCTTCAGAGACCACACAAAAAAAGAAGGAAAAGCTCTCCATCAGCAGAGGAGGAATCTTGTTGATAGCAAACAATAATAGATTTATAATTATTATTTTATTTTTTATTGACATGCAAGTTGAGTCTTTTCTTGTAAACTACTATAAGTCTATCCCCATCGTCAGCCGAGTTTTGTTCTCCATCAGCATTATTCTCACAGCGCTGACGTATCTAGATGTAATCACGCCGTACAATCTGGTGTACTCGTTTGCGCACATCAAGCAGTTTGAGCTGTGGAGGGCTGTGACAGCGTTCTTCTATCTGGGGCCTGCCACCCTCGATACGCTGGTGCACCACTTCTTCATGCTGAAGTACTGCATAATGATGGAGGAGTCGGGGAGCAGCCCGGCAGATTTTCTCTACATGATTATAGTTGGAATGGCGATGATCCTTGTGTCAGCGAGCTTTCTCGGGATGTCAAAGCTCTCCAGCGCGCTGTCAACGTACATTATTTATATCTGGAGCAAGAAGAACCCTCTGATAATAGTGCAGTACATGGGCCTGTTTAGCATTCCTGCGTACTACATCCCGTGGATCATGTTTATATTCTCGTCGCTTGCGGAGAGAGCTCTGCCCGTAAATGATCTCGTGGGGATTATGGCTGGGCACGTATACTTCTACTTTAAGACGGTGTACACGCGCACAAACCCGCGGAGTGACCCGCTTAGAACCCCGCAGGTGCTGAAGAGCCTTTTCATAGCCGGCAAGCCAGCAGAGAAAAGAGAGCAGCAGAGAGCAGAGCCTGCAGGAGAGCACAGAAGAGCTGGGAGAGCAGCTACGCTTGACGATATACGAGAGTGAAATAGATAAAGAACAGTGCGCTGGTCTCTGAGGAAAGAGTGTGCTATTCGTGCACTCTGTAGATCTCCAGGTTAATAAATGGTAATTTTGTGTTTACTGAGTTGAGTGTGAGGGTGCTTTTATTTCTGTGTTAGTCCTGTGCTGGGCCATTCCAGCTTTCTGTGCCAGAGCATTAACTACTGCTCTGTGTGCAGTAAATAAATTTAGCGTAGAAGAGCTAGTAGATATTTATTTAATGCACACAGAGCAATAAATAATGTACAGTCAATAGGCTAATCTCTGAAATGTCGCATTGATGGCAGAGATTCACACACTTGCAACAGTCTAGTATTGCGATAGAGCGCAGCGCTATGATGCATTTTGAATGTGTATAAGTGCTGCTGGAGGAGAGTGCAGGGATATAGCCTGAGAAGATGGCGCACATGTTTAGATCGCATCTGGGTAGATGGTGGCTCTTTGGCTATCAGCGGGTGTGTTTGTTTTTCTATGGCTTTTCATGGATTTTACATTTTATTTTTATTACACGCAGAATGGCTAAGAGAAAACACGTGGTTGAATCTGATAGCGAAGAGGAGTTTAAAGCAAGCAGGTTTGTCGACGTAGAGGCGTCTGAAGATGAGTCGTCAGACAATGAAAGCATGGACGACTTCATCAACGAAATTGCAGAAGACGTGGAAGTGGCAGAGGAAGGAGGAGAGGAAGAGACAGCAGAAGAAGAGGGCCAGGAGAACTACGCGAGCTCAAGCAGCGAAAAGCTCGAGGACTTTGAGGAGTACACAAAAACCGTGGAAGAAAGGTACAAAACAGTAGACGCAGTGGAGATAGAGGAGATACCGCAGCAGCTGCTGCTTCCCACAGATAAGTCGCCAAAGCTCTGGCTGATACGGTGTGCGCCAGGAAAAGAAAAACAGCTGGTGCTATCGATCATAAGAAAAACAATGCACAGCAAGCTAAACATCGCATCAGTCCTAGCGAACGAGCTCGTGAAGGGGTACATATACATAGAAGCATACCAGAAACAGCAGGTGCTGCAGGCGATAGAAGGAATCTCAGGTGTCTTCAAATCAAACATAGCACAGGTGCCGAATAAAGAGATGGCGGATGTCCTCTTTATACCAGAGCTGGATACAGTTGTGTTCAAGAAAGGAAACTACCTGAGGATAGTGAAGGGAAGGTACGCAGGAGAGATAGGAAGAGTGGAGTCAATAGGCAGCACAAAAGAGATGATATCCATGAAGATAGTGCCGAAGGTAAACGGAAAGTACAAGCTATTCAGCGCAAAGGACTATGCAGAGTCTGAGGTGTATAAAGTGCCAGACGGAAAGTGGGTGTACAATAAAGACATGTATAAAGATGGGTATTTATTAAAGGACATACCGGTAAGTTATTTATCACCAACACCAACTATCGCACGGGAAGAGAGAAAGTGGTTTGACACGGCAGAGAACAAAAAGATAACAGGCGCGCTCTTTGTGAAGAACGAAGTAGTAGAGGTGATGTACGGAGGCCTGAAGGGGGCAGTGGGAAAGATCCTGACCGTGGGAGAGGATGAGGCTGTGATAAAAATAGGAGAAAGAAAAGTATCTGTCTCTCTCGCAGAGATAAAGAAGAGATACTCGATTGGCGATGAAGTGCAGGTGATCTCGGGAAGAAAAAGAGGAAAGCACGGATTTGTGGTGGGGATGGCAGGAAGCAAGCTGATGATAGGCGTAAACAACTTCAGCGAAGAGATAGAGGTAGATCTGGAAGAAGTGAAGCTGAGCGCAGTCCCAGACACAGAGCCAGAAAAGGCCAAGACACAGCTCAAGATAGCAGGAAGACCGAAAAGAGACCCCCTTGTTGACAGACAGGGAGAGATAACAGCAGGAGAGTACAAGGGAAAGAGAGGAACAATAAAAGATGTCCTCGCAGATACGTTCAGAGTGCAGCTGATAACAACCCTGAAGTGCGTATCCGTTGATAGAAAGGATTTTTTGATCCACAAAAAGAACACAGCCCCGCCAATGGGCACAGAAACTACGCCGCGACAGCTCCTTGAGCGCATGGGCAAAGAGAGAAAAAACTCAGAGGAGGAGGAAGAGGACGAGAGCACCACAATGGTCCAGGATGGAAACGAAACCCCAGAGATAGAGCACACCCCGTACACACCCGGAGGATACAAGCTGGACAATTTGTCAGATGATGAGTAGGTGGCTGGTGCAGAGCAGTGGAAACACGCCAAGTTGGAAGATCAAAAAAAAGAATCAGTTGGGAAGAAAGCTGAAAGAACGAAGTGCACGTAAATAAATTCTATCTAAGTTTAAAACATCATCGAATTAGAAGAGCAGCTGAAGAACAGGTGGAAGAGCTAGAGCGGGTGTCTGTGAGATTTTGGAGAGCATGGCCTGCACTGTGGTTTTGTTCTATTATTATTTGCAGACCACATTTTTAAATACTGAAATATTTGTTGTCCTTGGAAGAATGCTGCAGAATGCGAACTCAGTTAAAAGAATAATGAAAGAGCTAAAAGATATCGAAGACTCAGAGAAGAACAAAACGGAAGAAGTGTCCGAGCAGGTAGTGCGGATCAGCCCAGTCGATGAAACAGACATGTACACTTGGAGAGGGAAAATAAAGCCGCCGAAGGGAAGCAACTACCACGGAGGAGTGTTCTATTTGGATATTAAATTCCCAACGGACTACCCTTTCAAGCCCCCTCGAATCAGATTCATCACGCGAATATTCCATCCGAACATAAACACAAATGGAACAATTTGTTTGGACATTTTGAACGAGAAGTGGTCTCCTGCGCTGACCATATCGAAGGTGATGATGTCTATTTGCAGCTGGCTGGACGAGCCAAACCCGGACGACCCTTTGGTGCCGAACATCGCATCAATCTGCAAGACAGAGCCGGAGAAGTACAAGGAAACATGCCAAGAGTGGACGCTGAAGTATGCGACAGACACGAGCAACGACATAGAAGCATGGAAGTAAGATGTCAAAGGGAATAAATGAGATTTGTTGCCTGTATGAGGGTTTTAGTGGATTTTTAATGAATGTTTTCTTTATTTTTATGGTGGATCCAGACGCGATATTCGAAGAGCCGTGGGGCGCGCAGGCGCAGCAGGAGAGAGACAGCCTGACAGCCTTTATAGCACAGACAGAGAGCGCGTGGCGCAGGGCAAAGCGAGGACTTCCCAGGCTTGCGGAGAGTCTCGAGACAATGCACAGAGCATCGAAGGAGATGGGCGCAATAAAAGACTCAATGGAGAACGCAAAGGAGGAGATACTCAAGATCGAGAACATGACGGGATCGACAGAAAGAGAGATAAGAACAAAAAAGAAAGCGCTGGAAATACTGGAAGAGATCACAAAGAGCATAAAAATAACAAAAGAAGAGATTCAGGTGCTGGAGGAGCCCATTTTCACCGACATGCAGGAGGTTGCAAACATAGAAGAGGCGCTGGAGAAGGTGCGGAAGTGCCTGGCCATAGAGAATCCAAGAATCCTGTCGATGAAAATAGTAGCAGATCAGCAGAGCGTGGTGAGAAGAGTTTCAGCGCGGTTCCAGAAGAAGGCAAAAGAGTTTATCCAGCGAGACTGTTTGAAGAACAAGAAAGTGCCCACAGAAGTGCACACTCTTCTGAGCAGATACAGCGAAATAGTGAGATACCTTGTGGAGAATGGAGAATTTCAGGAGTGCATGCACGCATACACCGTTACGATGTCAAAGCTGCACAGGAACTACATAAGCAAAAAAATAGAAGAGATAGTGCACCCATTTAAAAAGTCGAAAAATAAGCCGAGTCTAAACGGGAAGATAGAAGAAGCCATCATTTCCATCATACAGCTGCTTTTCTCGCTCGCTTCCACGGAGGGATACTTTCTCTCTGAGCTGTTCAACGTAAAGGACAAAGATCTATCATCTTCAGCGAATGTAAAGAGCCTTGGACAGAACAGCTCGCTTAAGGAAATATTTGCACAGACGGAGCAGGAACTTATTCTCCTCCCAAAAATGTTCTATGATCTGTCGTATGAGGCGGGGATACTGAACATTCTGTCGAGCAAAATCAGCTGGCTCCCAGAGGCAAACACTCCGTCTGAAGAGATGGCGGGGAGCATGGTGGGGAGCATCATTCCGAAGATGAAGAAAGAGATGCACGGGATAATGAGCAGCTATCTGCAGAAGATCAAAAAAATCATCTCAAAAGAGTACGCAAAAGAAGGGCCCATCGATCTGGATAAAACATTTTACAACATTGTGGACAGCTCAAAAGTGCCATCGCTGAACACTGAAGTGCTGCGCATGAATCTTGCGCACTCTGGGAAGCTCAAGACGCACACAGAGAGAGTGTTTCAGACGGTAAAAAGAGCATGCATCTTGGGATCCATACAGGCGCACTACCTGGAGAACAGAGACATATACGAGGCAGAGGTGGAGGAGCTGCTAAACAGCGAAATAGAAAAAATGACAAACAATCTTATGTATCTGTCAGAAGAGAAGGTCTTTGAGAAGCCAAAGCTCTCCAGCATAGTAAAAAGAACGAAGGAAATAATGGACATATTGAACAAGGTAGAAGACCCCCTCGGGTTCAGGCTGCAGATTGCGTTCAAAGACATGATTCTATCAAAGGCGCATTTCCACCAGAGAAACGAGATAGCTGCTGTGCTAACTGAAAATACTAAAGAGGAAAACAGATAGCAGATGTTCTAAATCACTCCACTATCACCACCAGAAGATATAACCCGAGAATAACTATAGATTAATTTGTGGCACACACACTATGCCTTACCCTAAATATTTCACGAAGAGAGATGTACAAAGTGCTCCTGCACTGTTCACTCGAGATGTAGTATGATTTATACTCGAGAGCATTTTACACCTGGTAATTAAAGAGTATAACTAAAATAAAAAATAGGCGGGATAGTAAATTCAGCAGAACAGAAATTTACAGGCAGTAGGAGACTGTAAAAGCATACAAAAATGGATAAACAGCAGGATGCTGATGTACGCACTATCTTGTACAGGTATTGTCCGAAGACATTCGATTCTCAATAAAATGTAATTAATGATTTAGTAATTTCTTTTTCTTTATGTATGGCTGCCAGTGCTACTGCAATAAAGACCATTCTCCGGGTAAGACCGCCGCACAAAGAGAAAGGACTCCGCATAAAGGGAAACACGGTGCACTTAGACAAGAACGCACAGGAAGAGCTGCTGTTTGTTTTCGATGCCGCGCATAAAAGCTCCAGCACACAGCAGGATATTTATGCAGAGGTAGAGTCGTACTTGGACAACATCGCAAGAGGAATAAACACATCTATTTTGGCTTACGGTGCTACAGGGTCGGGAAAGACGCACACGATGTGTGGGACTGCAGAAGATCCAGGGATAATCCCCAGGATGGCGGAAGCCCTATTCGGGCGGTACAGCGAGACACTTTCCATTCTTTTCAAGGTTCGCATAGAAATGTCGTACATTGAGATATACAATGAAAAGGTGTACGACCTGCTGGGAGAAGACCACACGCCTCTCCCCGTGCGCGAGGACTCAGAGGGGAAGGTGGTGGTGCAGGGCGTGCGAGAAGAGCCTGTTGCGAATGAGAAAGAGTTTTATGCGCTCTTTCGCAAGGGAGGACAAAGAAGAAAAAACGGAAAAACACTTTTAAACGTAGAAAGCAGCAGGAGTCACGCGATAGTCTCTCTTTTTGTGGTGCTCTCAACCGACTCAACAATGGTGAGAACAAAGATCAATCTTGTCGATCTGGCGGGAAGTGAGAACAACAAAAGAACAGGAAACGAAGGAATGAGCATGGTTGAGAGCGCGAGCATAAACAGAAGCTTGTTTGTGCTCAACAAAGTCATAGAAAGCCTGGCAAAGGGAGCGTGCAGAGTTCCTTACAGGGACAGCAAGCTGACAAGAATTCTGCAGGACTCTCTTGGTGGGATGAGCGACTGCGCGCTGATTGTGAACATCACGGGAGACTCGTCTGCAGAGACAGCAAGCACGCTGGCATTTGCAGGGAAGAGCAGACAGGTGAAGCTGAAGCCCCAGAAGGAGAAAATTGCATACAACAAATGGACAGAGATCGTAAGGTCTGGGGTGAAGAGTGCAAATCACAGTGCAAACAGCCAGTGGAGAAAGCCTGTGAGGCCGTTCTGCGCGGAAGACAGAGGCTTTGTGCCGAGTCTGAGCAGTAGAAGTAGCAACTATCGAGAAACAAGCGAAAATAAGCCATACAACGCGATAGACAAGCTCACTTCAAAAGGCATCACAGATAGGCTGAAAAAGGAAAAAGATACGAGCAAAAAGATAAAGAAGGTGCGCGAGCATAAGCTGCAGAGCCTGGAGTCCGTTTTGGAGATTGTAAACAGTGGGGACTTTCTGAGGATCAAGTCTCTGCCGATGATAGGCGACCAGAGAGCAGAAAAAATCATAAAGTACGCACAGAAAAAGGCCATATGCGATATAAGTGAGCTAATGCAGGCGGGAATAACCAAGAAAATAATTGCAAAGCTAGTGGGAGAGACACGCAGTAGCGAAGATATTAGATGCTAAAGAGAAATTTGGCGCTTGCATCAATTGCAAAGATAAAGACAAATTCGTACAGAAAAGGATAAGAGCTTTTTGGTGGCAGCATATATCTTATACTGCTCCTGCTTCTCTAGAGGAACATATGCTCAACTTGCATAAAATGACTTGGCTGGCTGTGGTAGAACAATAAATTGATTCAAGAAAACTTGAAATATTTCTGGGGCATCTTTGGGCTATTTCGTGATTTTAGGAGAGAAAGACGCAGGCTGATAGAAATGAAGTGCTTTTTTATTTATCCTCTTTGAAATCCACTGCTATTTCCAGAGGTGAGTTTTTTGGGATTGACAAACGAAAAGTCCTCTAGCTCAGACTTTTTATTACTGCATCCTGTGTCAAAGATAAGAGACTTTTCGTACGGCTGGGAAAATGAAAAGTTGTCTCCCACAATGCTCTCAATGAACGCTGAGTCATCGGAGAAGAAGTCCAACTCGTTGAAGTTGTAGTTTGTAGAGGCATTTGGCTTCTTAGAGGGCTGTATAAACTGCTGAATATGGGAGGTATATGATGTCGGTGCAGAGGAGAACACGGGAGTGGGGTTGGGAAGGTTGGAGTCCTTGAAAAGATCTATTTCAATGGGCGCAATGCCACTGGAGTCTTCCAGTCTCTGCATGGGCTTCACGGAGTTAGGTATTACCTTCTTTTTCTCTTCCACTTTTGTGTCTCTAACGTACGTTTTCAGGTTTCTCTTCTGCTGCGCAAATGTCTGCGGCCTCTGCATCCCGGGCATTCCGCAGATGTATTTGCTGTAGGTGTACAGGTTTGTCTCGCGTCTCAGATCGCGCTCAAGGGCATCGCAGAAGAGAGCATCCTGTGGGACGGAGTACCAGAAAAAGACCTTCTGTTTTTTCTGTGTGCGAATGCACCCGTTCTTGTAGAGAAACTCAAGAAAGTCGGACCGAGGAGACTCGAGGGTTGCATCGATCCCTGGCTTGAGGTTTCTCAGATCAGAGAACACGCCTTCCTCAAACTTCTTGTGGCTTGCAATGTGTCTCCCCGCATTTTGAAACCTCCACACCAGAATTTTTACAATGTCTGTGCCCGTAATGTAAAAATGCATGTTCCACAGAATGCAGTGTATGTAGTCTCCGTTCTTCAATTGGTACTTCCTGATTCTCTCGCCCTCTCTAAAGTCTTTGGGAGAGTTTGCTAAAAAGTGAAACAGCTCTTTATCCCCCTGCTCTTCTAACTGGCTATAATTCATAATCAACAAGACGTGTTCAGGTTATATTCAGGTTTTGAAACAGTTTCATGGAGACGGTTTCGTAGAACAGCAAATAAACAATGTTTCCGAGAATTGAAAATTTCATAAAGCAGCAAATAAACAATCATTCTGAAAAATGAACTTTGTCTTTCTTTTTATGCAAAATTTCTGAGGAGAGCATGCCAAGAGTCAAATCGTCCCCGCAGGAGCCGAAGCGAGTAAAAATAGAAACTCTCACAGAAGACGCGATAGCCACTGTGCTGAGCAAAGCCAATGATTACACTGTTTTCAGAAAGCAGGGAGACTGCATGACAAACGAGTATGCAAAAACACTATCAGAAATGCTGGAGAAAATGAGCGCGCAGGAAGAGGACAAGGAAAACCTCTTCGCAAACGAGAGTGCACCAAAGAGCGCGAATAAAACAGTCACTCTAGCCACCTGGGCAATAAAGCTGATTGAAGCCTCTGAGGGTGTGCTCGAGCTAATTGTCTTTGGGGTGATCAAAGATACGAGCGATATTGTGCAAAGCTCTTTCATAAATAAGAGAGTGTCCTCGCACTGTGTGGTCTCCAAGAGCACAACGTATCTGCTAGAGGGCGGCCTAGACACCTCTGTAACTCCGTATCCTGGCTTCAGAGAGGAAGTGACCGAAAAGTTCAAAGACGGATTTCCAATGCAGTGGCGGTCGATAGTCAAGGCAGAGGCGCAGCGGATTAAAGAGGTTGAGGGAAGAGAGCAGCTCAAGGCAAAGTATAAGCCCAGAAAGAGGAGAAAGTATTTAAACTAGGAAATGTACAAATGTGCTGGGATGGAGAAAAGCTAAAAAAGAAAAATAAATAAAACATCCAAAGAGCTGCAAAGGTTCTGTGACTATGCGATTACAGTTTATGAAAACATTCGAGAGGCTCAAAGATGCATCAATCTCTCTTTGCTGCAGATGCATACTTAAACAGTAGCAGTACTGCTCAATATTAGAGCCATCTGAGCACCGAGATAAGAAATGAAACAGAAGAAATGATATATAATCCTTTAATCAATACAGAGATATACCATTAAATGATTTTGTTCAGTTATGTACCTTCTATTACTGAGCACACTAAACATAAGAGCAGGAGAATAGCCCGAGCTCATTAGACCTATTTTATACTTAGTGACAGTTAAACTTAGGATGGAAACCAGCACACTCTCTTTTCTCTGCAATAGCTGTATATCGTACAATGCCATTATTTAAATACGAGAGCAGAAAGGGTTAACACAGTACAATAGCCCAGAGCACCAATCAATGTTGATAACCAGAGAATAAATGAAATAGTAAATTACCAAGTAATCTACACCTCTGCATCCTCTGTTCTTCCTCAAACAACTCCAGAATAACCCGAGAATTAAACCGTACTGCACTTTTTACTGAAAATTTAAATAAATTCTATGTGTAAACTTTGTAAATATTTCCTCTTGCTGTAAATGCATAAACTGAAAAGATTCGAGTGCTTGTCCGATGGAAGAAGAAGAGCTAAAGATAAATAAGAGCCATCTTTATTAAAGAAAAAGTGCACAAAAGTACTTACTGTATATATAACTGGTTAAACACGCCCGAGAGTAATTGGCTGTTCTAGATATCCGTAGAGAGTAGAAGAGAAGCACTCTGCAGAGGAATCTTGGCGATCTACACTGCACTACTGTATATTGCCGAGATAGTCATCGTTGATTGTACCCACACCGAATATCTTTGCAGGCTCCACCTTCACTCCTATCAGCCGGAGCCGAACTATGCTATCCTTCACTATTGCTGCTCCTCCATCGTGCTGCACTATGCTGGAGTATGCGCCTGCCTCTATGAACTGCCCAGAGATCTGGTGCGTGCTCACAAAGACAGAGAATGGCCCGATGAAGCAAAACATCCCCATTTTGTTTATCTCGTGGACCACCGCATTGGCAACTTCGTTCTTGGAGGGGTACAGAGTCAGCGCAGAGTACTCGGCTAGGAAGGTCCCTGCGCCCGTTGTTTCGTCTATTTCTGTGGTGTACAGATTGTCTATCGATATTATGCTGATGATGTATCCGCACTCGGCTGTGCACTTTCCCTCGACTTCTGCAACGAGCCTTTTGCGGACGATCTCTTCAAGTTTCTTCCCCAAGTACTTTGGCTCCAGTATTATTCTTTCTTTCATCTTCCTTACATAAAACATGGGATGGATAATATGAGAATAATAAAAGAAAAGAAAGTACCAACCAAAGAAGAGAAAATAAAGAGCACCGTCTGCCAGGGGAGAAAGTATTTCACTACGGGGGAAGTAAAAATTTGCAAAGATGTTTGAAGAGAGCAGCAGCAAATTAAGAAAGAGCGCAAAAGAGATAAAAAGCATGGAAACTTCAAATGGAAAAAGCATCCAAAATATGGACAAAGAGTGTACAGATATTATCGAAGACGCCTTCAACCCAATCAAATGCACGGCTTGGCAGTCAAAGAAAAACTTGGTCGACCGGATAGAAGAAGATCATCCGACGCACAAAAGCATCGAGTACAAAATCATAGAAAAAAAAAACCATCTTCCGCCCATAGGAAAAGGCCTGCAAGATAAAAACAGAGGAAAGTACATTCTGCTGAACAGCATAAAAATAGAGTCAATTTCCACGGGAAGCTCGCCGGACACACAGAGGGACCAGTTTTTCGAAGAGGTCCAGGCATTTGCCAAGAAGCGCGGGATATCTTCTGCAGGGAATCTCATATGCGCAATTTCCAAGGACCAGGAGGGAAGCAGATTTATCCAGAAGAAGCTCGACACTGCAAGCGCAGAGGAGATAGCAATGACTTTCCAGGAGATATGCCCGTGGATTGGCGATCTGATTGTTGATTTATTTGGAAACTATGTGGTGCAGAAGTTCTTGGAGATAGGAACAGGTGAGCAGCGGGGAAAGATCTTCCAGGCGATGGAGGGCTCGGTTATTTCGCTGGCTCTGCACATGTACGGGTGCCGGGTGATACAGAAAGCGCTGGAGTGCAAGGATATAAATAGAAAGATTGTAGAAAAGATAAAGGGGCACGTGATTGACCTCGTGTGCGACCAGAATGGAAACCACGTAGTGCAGAAGTGCGTTGAGTGTGTGGACTCTGACTTTGTGATCAAAGAGTTTGAAGAAGACGCAGTGTCTCTCAGCCGGCACCGGTACGGGTGCAGAGTCATCCAGAGAATATTTGAGAACAGCACAAAGTGTGCAAGCGCAGTGGATAAGATAATCAACAACGCAAAGCTTTTGGTAGAGGACCAGTACGGGAACTACGTAATCCAGCACATTCTGGAGAAGGGGACGCATGCACACAAAAGGAAAATAATCTCAGACTTATCGGACAACATTGCAGAGTACAGCACGCACAAGTTTGCATCGAATGTGATGGAGAAGTGCGTGGTGTGCGGGACGCCAGAGGACAGGAAGCACATGCTAAGACAGCTGAGATCGGCAGTGGGGGCCTCGGGGGAGGACATTCTCATATACATAACAATGGACAAGTTTGGAAACTATGTCATACAGAGACTTCTTGACGTTTTAACCGGGGCTGATAAGGAAATCCTTATCTCGCACCTTAAGATGAACATGTCAGATCTAAAGAAAAGCTCTTATGCCAAATGCATTGTATCGAAGATTGCGCTTTTAGAGGCTAAAAAGGAATAAACACTTTTAAATAATCTGCACACCCCTTACTATCTACTAATAATATTTACACTGGACTATGCAGCAGTCTGCTCAATCAATGCTCGAATCTGCAATAAAGTTCATCTACTTTAAACCCGAGTATTTGGGTGTGCAGAAAATAATTCTAGAGATTCATTACAGACTAATTACTTGCACACATAATAATAGTACACTAGCACTGACCGATCTATAATCATGCACAAGTATGGAAAAGGTTGCTGCATTAGTGTTTTTCAGTTAGCAGAAACAATCTTTAACAGTCATTAAATACTCTGCAGTGTTAAGAAGCATGGAGATATTCTGTGCAGTAAAATTTCTGAGTTATTCTCGGGCTATAATTGCTATAGCAGCACAAGACTTATAATGATCTCTTGTGATGGATACAAGCTATCTATGACTAGATGATAAATCTGCGAGAACACTTAGAATAAGAAAAAGCAGAGTGTATTGGACAGCTGTGCAGATATATTGGGAAATACGAAGAGATTAGTGGAAAAAGGAGGACTTCCTCCGGTGAAATATTCGTAGCAACCAACTGGCATCAACCAGCGCGCACAGACCACATCCTTAAGAGACGGTGACTGCACGGCCAGCAGAGCCGCGTTGCTTTGCTGCAATGTAAGTTAGCCGGTAAAAAAATAAACTTATTTATTCTTGGATACATACTTCTTCTGTTTCTTCTGCTGCTTCTCTGGCTCCTGCTTCTTTTTCAAAACGAATCCCTTGGGGATGTTGGGGATGGGAAGGTCCTGAGGGTTTGGCGCATCGTTGAAGGACGCCCCTGCAAATACCTCTTCTGTGCTCTTTGTCTGCTCCATGCAAGTTTTTTCTTTTTATTTTTTTATTCTAATGGCCCTGGGCAATGAACAGTGTTAAAGAGCGAAAGCCAGAAGAGCAACAAGATAACAGAAAAAAAAACCAGAAACTATTCAAGTTTCAGGGAGTGGGAAAGCATCTCAGCGTATTAAGAGAGTGCACAGCCCAGATAAAAGAGATTGAAGAGAAAGTCGCTGCAAAAAAACAGAGATTAGACGCCAGAATCGAAGAGTTCAGAAAAGCCACGGGACAGAAGGAGCTGTACGACACCAAAGACGAAATCCAGAAGAAGATAGAAGAGATCCAGAAGGAAAAGGGAACCATGGGCGCAGAGCTGAAGCAGGCAGTGCAGGAGCTCAAGACGCTCTCCCACGCAGTGGGCGAGGAGAAGAAGAAGCTCAACATGAAGAGCACTTCAGAGCTCAGAAACAAGCTCAGCATAATTGACAACAGAATCATAGAGAGGCCGCTGAGCTCAAAAGAAGAGAAGGACATCAGCACCGAGAAGAACAGAATCATCAAGCTGCTGGCCATGCAGGACATCTTCAAGGAGAAAGACGAGAAAATCAAGGAAATGGAAGACCAGAAGAAAAAGAAGGAAGCTGCGTTCTCCATAAAAAAACAGGAGCTTGACCTGCAGATAAAGAAGCTGGCTGAGATCAACAGCAAGCTCGGAAAGATCAAGAAGACAGCATACTCAGAGGACATCAAGAAGATGCAGGGTGACATCGCTGCTCTGATCGAAGAGAAAAAGAGCTTGTTTGAAGAGAAGAAAAACGAGATCGTTGTCATGGAGAAGAAAGAGAAGGAGTACGAGCTGAAGTCTGCAGAGATTGAAACAGCGAAAAAGCACAAGATGGCGCTCTTTGAGCAGGAGAAGGTTATTTCAGACCTGATGGAGCAGAGAGAGAAGCTGGAGAGCGACCTGCACAGCAACCCTTCGGAGCAGCTGAAGTCCATCAGCTCTGCGCTCAGAATGCAGAAGATGAGCGTGCAGAAGGGAAGAGCTGCAAAGATCTCCCTGCCTTTCCACCTGGTCAGCCAGCTCGTTAAGTTTAACATCCCAATTCCAAAGACGTCGGCTGACATAGAAACAACGCTCCAGAAGATCGAAGAGATCTTCCAGAACGAGGAGAACACTTTCTTGTCCAAGAAGCAGCAAATCTCTGCAAAGATTGCACAGGTTAACGAGAAGATAAAGAGTGAAAAAGAAGCCCATCAGAAGATGCCTCGCCCTGTTTTCCCACGTATCTCGGAATAATTGCAGTTAATAAAACGGTCTGCCCATTTTATCTGTTTCTTTTTTTCTTGTCTTTCTTTATTTTGTGCGCTCTTTTGCATCTTGCATCCCATGCAGTGTTCGTATATGGAAGCTGCTCTTATCTTAGGAAAATGTGCATACCATTTCACCTGTGTGTAGCTCTTCTTAGCTACTGATTAGACATGCCACTAGATACACTTTAGGTCTTCTGCCTTTTATTCTGCTCTTTGGGATATTTTGTCATATTTGCTTATGCATTTGTAGCAAAAATATACATGTATGCAATAATTCACAAGAGTAAAATAAAAATAAAGCAGTAAATACTTTTTAGATACACTTTCTATTTATTTTCAATATTGCTATCTATCTCAGAGAGCATGTGTTCAATAGTTGCTAGACTAACCATCTGTATGTTCCGCTGCAGAACCTCTCTAAACTCGTCCTCTGGTATTGGATAGTCTGCAAGCTTGAATAGTATCTGCATTCTCTGGTCGTGCTCTATCACGCCCTCTGTGATGTAGTTTCTGTGCCCTACCTCGACAAGTGCTGACGCAGCGTGGAAAAGAACGGGGAATCCGCGGGTGTAGAACAGATCAAGCACCACCGTATAGAGCGAAGGAGATAGGCGGGAAAACAAGGTAAGGTACCATCCGGCTGAATAGTCGTGTGTGCTGTTGCTTATGCTCTGTATGCTCTTTCGGATGGCTTCGGGGAGGGTCAGGTTGAGAACTCTTTCGTGCACGCTCAGCACCTTGGACACAAGAGAAAGCTTTTTGTCAAAGAGTCTCTCAATGCGGTTCTTTTGTATGGTCTTGCAGAGAATGGAAAAGGATTCTTCAGGCGTGAAGAGCTGCAGGAGGAATGCAGCGTAGTACGAGAGGCCCTGGCAGTACTCAATTGCGCTGTTGTACTTTGCGAATGCAACAAGGACATCTCGCAGCTCTTTCTTCCGTATGATGACATTGTACTCCCTGGCCTCTGCCTCAAGCGGGCCCATGCACGTGCACTCTGGGTGGACAGACCGCTCAATGTCCACCTCGATGTTTTGCAGGGCCTCCCGTGGGATTGTGGATCTTTTGAGGAGATTGAACTCTTCCTTCACAGGGCTGTACATCAGCTCCTTCCATGCGTTTGCTCTTGTTTTCATGAAGCACAAACCCGATCTGAATAAGAGTGTTTCAGATTAGAAAAGTGAAAATATTTTATTCACCCGATGACCAACGAAAACGAAGTATTTCCGCGCTACAAAGTAAAAGCACTCGAGCTCTCCGAGATAGGAGAAGAAGCCATTCTTTTTGCAAGGAACGAAATGCCTGGGATAAGACACTTATCAAAAACATACGGTGAAACAAAGCCACTGAAAGGCGCAAGGATTGCCGGGTGTCTGCACATGACCGTGCAAACAGCAGCAATGATTGAGCTAATTGTGGAAATGGGCGCAGAGGTGGCCTGGTGCTCCTCCAATGTGCTTAGCACGGAGGATAAGGCAGCAGCCGCCCTTGCAAGTAGGGGAATAAGCATATACGCATGGAAAGGAGAGACAGACGAAGAGTACAAGTGGTGTCTTCGCGCTGTTTTATCTAAGTGGGAGAATGGCCCAAATATCGTGATTGATGATGGCGGTGATCTAACGAATCTTTTGCACACTGACTACTCTCATCTGCTCCCTGGGATCATAGGACAGACAGAGCAGACAACCACGGGAACACACATCCTTGAAAAGATGCACAAGAACGGGATACTGAAGATACCAGCTATCTGCATAAACGAAAGCGTCATGAAGAGCAAGTTTGACAATATATACGGATGCAGAGAGTCTCTAACAGACGGAATAAAAAGAGCAACAGATGCGATGATAGCAGGGAAGCGCGTGCATATTTGCGGATTTGGAGACGTAGGAAAAGGCTGTGCCCAGGCCATGGCTAAAATGGGCGCAGTGGTGACGATTTCCGAAGTAGATCCTATCTGCGCAATGCAGGCTGTGATGGAGGGCTACCAGATCAGAACAGTTGATCAGGTGGCAGAAGAAGTGGACATTTGGGTCACAGCCACAGGGAATAGAGACATTCTTACAGCCAGCACAATTTTGAGAATGAAAGACATGGCAATTTTGTCAAATATCGGACACTTTAATGTGGAGATAGATGCAGAGTGGGTCTACAAGGACGCAAAGAAAATTGTCTCCATAGGAAACAACGCAGAAAGAATAGTTTTGTCGAATGGCAGGTCAGTCATACTGCTGGCTGAGGGAAGACTCGTTAACCTGGGCTGTGCCACAGGACACTCCAGCTTTGTTATGAGCACAAGCTTCTCTTGCCAGGTGCTGGCTGTTCTTCGGCTGTGGAGAGAGTTTGAAGCCAGCAGCGAGAACAGAGGCGCAGTCCTCTTTTTAACGAGAGAAGAGGACGAAGAGATAGCAAGGATGCACTTAGAGGGAATAGGCCATACTTTAACCAAGCTTACACCGGTGCAGGCAGAGTATCTGAATGTTCCAGTGTCAGGGCCGTACAAGAGCGAGAGTTACAAGTACTAATAAAGCTGACATAAACAATTTTACACACAAATATTGCAAGAGTCTCTCAATTTCTCGCTTTTTTCTGCATTGCAATCAGCTTGTTTCAGAGGTATTTGGCACGAGTGCATGAGTATTATTTGCATACGAGTGTGTGGCTATTCATTGCTTGTTGCTTTTAGTTCATTATTTCTTTTACTTCATTGTTCATTGTTCATTTGTTTGCTAATTTAAAACCTTTTTCTTCTTTTTTATTTGGTGTTTTATTGCTAGCTAGTACTGAGTGTATAGAGAACAGCTTAAGAGTTCTTTATAGCATGATTACATACTTACCTTATATCTATTTTATATCTGTAGGATGCTCTCGATTGTTCAGGTTTCATTCTATTTCTATTTACTCATCGATTCTCCAATCTTGTACACTCATTTATACAGCTGTCTCTAGCTTTGTCTATGTGCTGGCTGTTTGACACACTCTGAAGTGTATTGTGATGCAGCTCATAGACACATGCTATTCTTGGGCTGTATTTTAGCAGAGAAGTTGATGAATCTGTGCAGCTAGGAACATTCCAGTGTCTCTTCTGGCTCTACTTGGGAGCGCGCTCTGTAGCTCTCTTTTGTTCTTTAATTTCTTCTTTTCTCTCTCTTTCTCGGATATTTGCTTATTAATTAATTAACTGGCTGTTTGCTGGAGGTTTATTTGCTGTTTATTTTGCCTCATTGGCTACTGCGCTCGCGCGCCCTCTGGGCTTAGAGCAGTCTTTTTCGCATCTCCTTCCAATAGAGCGTCTAGACTCCATGCGCCGGTGATTTTTTGTGCGGGTGACCAATTATTTTGGATCACTTAATAGGCCATTCAACTGCATCATAACTATATTTCTAGCTTTTTTTATTTGTTGATAACCCGTTCATATGGACGAACATAACAACCACGATAAAGAAAAGGATACAAATAACTCTATGTCAGAGGAAAGAGAAGAAATGCAGATAAAAGGGCCATGGACCCGGGAGGAAGACGAGAAGCTGCGGGTCCTTGTCAAAGCCTTTGGGCCAAAAAGATGGACCTATATTGCAAAGAAATTAGGAGGACGAGTGGGAAAACAGTGCAGAGAAAGATGGCACAACCACCTGGACCCAAACATTATAAAAACACCGTTTACAGCAGAAGAGGATAATATTATACTATCTCTTCACAGCAAGTACGGGAACAAGTGGTCGGACATCGCAAAGCATCTCCCAGGCCGCACAGACAACGCAATAAAAAACCACTGGAACAGCAGTATGCAGAAAAAGGTTTTTAAGGACAAAAGAGCGAACAGCGTGTCAGGGGACTTTATAGCAGCGCACGCTGAGTTCCGAGAGAGCAGGCGCTTTGCACAGGATGAGCTATCGCACCCAGAGGGAGGATGGGTCAGACGAAGAACGTCGTCTGTGTTTATCCCCCCGCAGGGAAACGACAGCCTGCTGAACGCCCTCGCACAATCAGCGTATAACGAACTTTTAAAAACAAAACAGATGTATTATAGTGAAGGATACACACCTCTGCAGAGGTGGAACATTCCGCTGCAAACTATACAGAATATAAGCACAGACAAAAAGAAGACAAACTCGTCCGACGAGGAGGACGGGGTGGCAGGACTGGTATTTCTAGCCTCGGGCGAAAAATAAGTGAATAAAGCATTTTCATTATTTGTTTTTTTAATTATGAATATTAGAAAATTATTCGACGAGATTCGGAGCGCCGACTTGTTTAACGCTTTTTGGAGCTACCCAGAGGAAAAAAATCTTTCAATACTTGCAAACAGGCTATCTTATATAAAATCAGTCAGGGAGCTACGCAGTGCAGTGGCGCAGATATGCAATCAAGTATTTGAGGAAAACGAGGAAGGCAGTTTCCAGTACATAGAGGCGCAGAATCTGCTGAAGCACGCTGAGTCAGTCGTGGAAAAGGCCATAGCCACGGCGTCCGTGTCGGGAGGGCCTTCGGACATCCTTCTGAAAGAAGAGAAAGACGCGAACAAGTTTGTGATGTGGGAGAACGCGGTCATTGAGAGGCTGTGCCAACGGTACAAAGAATCGCTGATCAGCTTTACAAAGGATCTTCTGGTGCACGAGGTGCAGAAGCACATAAAGATAGTTCTATTTGGAGAGCCACAGAGTGAGCTTTCGTCGCCCGCAGCAGATGCGGATTAATAAATGTTTGTACTTGATTTCATCTCCTGCACACAGAAACAAATAAACAACAATCCGCAAAAGATTTGTGGATTCTCTTTAGAGTATACAGATATACAAATAAAGTAAATAAATTAAACTAAAAGAAAATAAAAAGATAGCCAAACACGGTTAAAACAGAGTAGATTGAGCTGATTTAAAAATAAAACGATAGATCGATTAGAGGTATAGCTTAGATTTTCAGATGGAGTGAAGTGTACTTGTGTCTATCTCTCCGAGTGGTGTATGTTTTATATTTATCCAATGCAAAACACTTCAGTGTACAGTAGTGTCTTTTTTGCAGAGCTGTGCTTTTAGTGCTCTTCCATCTACTTTTGCTTATATGGAAGGAATAGGAAGTATTTTTAGAGCCATGCAAGCATGCATCCCCTGGCTGCATCTTAAGAATGCATAGATCTGTAGCAAGCCAATTGATGCATTGGCATTAGTTCATAGAAAACAGAGTATACTCAACGAGCAATAAACAGAATGAAAGATACATAACTTCTCAAAAAAGTGAGAAGTTCACTCAGATTGTATGTGCATCAGAAGAATCTTTCTATGTTCTGTGCATGCATACGATCCACTTTACTCCATTACATAGAGTTAAACTAAACCGTTATATCAAAGAATTACCAGACTAAGCCAAATAAAACTGCTGTGCTAATCGGTTAAACTGAATTATTGAACAAAATTAAAAGAAGCTACTAGATCAACTATACTAAAACATTGTGCATTAGGCTATTCAGATATTTATTACATGGCTGTTTCTATTTCTGATCCGGGCGTAAAAACAACTCCATCAGTAAGGGAGATTCTGCACACGTCAAAGTGTCCATTTGACATGACTTCTGGATCATTCACTGCATTCCTGAAGGCTGCAATTCCCAGGCTCATCAGATCTTCATCTGGGAGCTCGTAGATGTTCTCTGTGTGCGACTCCAAAATAGTCCTAGCCGACTGCGCTCTTGACCCAATGCATGCTCCAAAGCACGGAATTGCCTCGCCCGTTGGGCCCATCTCTATCACTTCGATCTTTCCTCTGTCAACCCCTGCTATAATAACCGAAATGCCCGAAGCACGCCTTCCGTACCTCATGATCTCCAGCGCATTGGAGAACTGCTTCTCTTCCAGCAGCTGGGAAATGGGAGAGGACGTTCCCTGTATGTACTTCGAGTACTGTATCTCGTCTCTCAGATCGTTTCCAAACTTTATTCCGTCGTTTGTTATGCCTGCATAGACATACACGAGATTGCTATCTAACTGTTTTATCTTTGTTTTGCCTTCTGTGAGCTTGTCGTTCTTCCCTGTTCTCTGTGCTATTATAATTGCCATGTTTTTGTTCCGCAGGGCCACACAGGGGCTTCCGTGCTCTGTTGATCTGATCACTCCTTCAATCGGAAGAATCTTCCCCTCTGGGGTGAACATGCAAAAGTAGTTGTACCTTTCCTTGCTTGACATGTAAAAACAAAAAAACAAATAGTTAATATTTCATTTATTTTTATTCAGAACGGCAGACAAGAAATGAACTCAGACGCTGCGGACAGAAAGTACCAAGAGAGCGAAGATCTTTTAAACGTAAGAGTGCTGCAAAGAAATCTAGTGTATGCAGTGGGGATTCCCGTGGAGTTTGCAAGAGAAGATCTCCTCCGCTCGAAGAGCTTGTTCGGCGGATTTGGAGAGATAGTGAAGATAGTGCTCAGCAAAAGAAAAGAGTCGAAGCCCGAAAAACAGACGGACGGGATCTTCAGTGCATACATTACGTACTTGAAGGAGGAGTATGCAGTGGAAGCCATTCGAGAGATGGACGGCTTTAGGCTGGGGGACAAAGCAGTAAGATGCACATTTGGCACCACAAAGTACTGCTCGTTTTTCCTGCGCAAGATCAAGTGCAGCAACGAGGGGTGTCTGTATCTGCACGAAAAAGGACGCGAGGAAGACTCGTTTGCCAGAGACCAAATGTTCGTGCTAAAAACAAAAATAGAAAAGATTATTGAAGAAAGAAAGATAGAAGAAAAGACAGAAATATTTGCAAACACATCCACAAACACAGGAGCAAGTGCAAATTTAAGTTTGAGTTTAGCTCCAAGCTCAAACGCAAATGCAAAAACATACACAGAAACAGAAAACATAGAAGAGCTGTCAGCCTTGTTTTTATTCAAGCCTGAGCAGGCGCTGGCGCAGAAGCACTACGACAGCTGCCAGTTCAACCCGTTCTACAGGAGAACATCAGAAGACTCGCATGAGCGGAGTGTCAGAGGTATATGTGTAGACAAGTAGACTAAAAATAAATAGAGATTAATTTATTTACATATGAAAACATGGACACACGAGGTGTATGCAGGGAAGAAAACCCTGGGGGACGTTGGCCTAGAGGGAAAGCGTGTTTTTCTGCGCGTGGACTATAATGTTCCCTTTAAGGACGGATTTATTCTTGATAATGCGAAAATTGCAAAAAGTTTGGCAACTATTGACTTCCTGCGCAGAAAGAAGGTTTCTTCGATAATCATTGCGTCTCACTTGGGGCGGCCTGAGTGCGATGCAGATCCTGCGAACAGCCCTGCAGACGTGAGCATGCTTCCTGTGCTTGACGAGCTCAATAGGTGTCTTATGGAGTCGGAGATTCCCATCTCCTTTGAGTTCCAGTACATGGTGAAGGAGGCTGTAGATAGCAAAAAACAGTGGATGTTTGTGCAGAATCTGCGCAGCCTTAAGGTGGAGAAAGACCAGACAGACGAGGAGAGCAAAGAGCTTTTTGACGAGTTTGTCCGTTTGAACTGCGATTTGATGGTTAATGATGCGTTTGCTGTGTTGCACAGATCGGACTACTCGGTGGTTGGTGTGCCTCTGGAGAAGATAGCAGGGATACTGCTGGACTCAGAGATGCAAAGCGTCAGCTTTCTGCTGGGAAAGACTCCTCCTGTGGAGAGACACTCGCCAATGTCCTGCGTAGACGACAGAGAGATAGAAAAGTTTATGAGCATTGGAAAGAATGCAAAGAATTTCCAGATACAGGACAAAAAGCCCATAGACCTGCTGATTATTGGAGGATGCAAGCTTGCAGATAAAATACAGCTGGTTGAGAATCTGTCAACCATTGCATCAAATATCTTCCTGGGCGGCTTGCTGGCTCTTCCTCTTTTGGAAAAACCGCTGAGCAAAGAGGTGGAGAATCTCATAGAAAGCACAATATACGAGCGAATTTCAGTCTTCTTCCCAGCAGACTATGTGCTAAAGGACCAGTCAGTGGTCTCAGCAAAGGCAGCAGCGCAGAGAATGAGCGAAATAAAAGATATTGGGCCAAAAACGGAAGAGCTGCTGGCTGATCTGATATCGCAGAGTTTTAGCATTTTCTGGAACGGCACGCTTGGGCAGGCAGAGATCAAAGAGTTTGCACACGGAACAGACACTGCGCTCACATGCATAAAGAAAAGGAGGGAAAAGCTGCATGAAGAGAGCGCAAGAACGATGATCTGTGCTGGGGGCGGGGACACTGGAGGGTACATAAACGCAAATGGGCACAGGGGGTCTTTTGATCTTATTTTCACGGGAGGCGGAGCTACGCTGGCTGCTCTGCAGGGAGACATCCTCCCGGGCGTCCACGCCCTTTCCGACAGAAAGAATGTTTGAAATAAAAATATATTCTAACCTCCTTACATCCAAAAAGAGTAATATTTTGTTGATTGATCTTCATAATGCTTATCTAGCTATCTAAATAGCAGAGCATCTATCCAAGCGGCTGTTTTATTTCTGCATGTAGGCTAGCTATACTAATGAAAGCATATAAATAGTAGGTGGTTATGCGCATATTCAGCAAAGATACATGCTGCTACAGTAGATAGGTTGGTCTAGGCTAATTGAAGAGACAAAAGAAAGGTTTGTAAAAGGTATTTGTTACACTTGTATAGGGTAAATGAGTATTCTGTCTTTGATGCAAAAGTTTTATTTTAATTAGATTTATTTGCGAAGAGAAAGAAGCAGAGCTGTACTTGTATTTTCTTGGATGCAATAATATTTCTGCTTAATAAAAAATGATTATATTTGCATATATAAATTCTAAATTTAAATTTAGCATGAAAAGGTACAGAGAAATCACAGTCCTTATTGTGTGCTGCATTCTAAAGATAGCAGAAGGAAGCAATCCAGAGGATGCACTGAGGGAGAGAGGGCTTGCACACGGCATAAGCAAAGAGAAGGTAGAAAGCTTGAAGAAAGAAGCTGACCGTTTAAAACATACAGCCAATGCACCTAAAGAAGGTTTCTTTACGGATAAAAAAGAAGAAGACGCAGAGAGATACCAAAACAAGATAGACGAGCTCTCTTCACTCGCAGATAGCTTGTTCAGCTTTGTCGTAGGAAAGCCATCTAAAGATTATCTAAAAGATAGCCCAGATAGTAGTCTGTCTAAACTAAAGAATTTCATCAGTAATAAAAAAAAAGAGAACACATCGGAACTGCCTATATTCGATCCCAAGTACCTTACAGGACTCCTGATCGTTCTCTTTGTTCTCGGGTGCAATATGCTCCTGCTTGGATACAAGGAAAAGAGATTCAACGTGTTTGCTATCATCAGCTTTTATGCTTTTAAGCCCATATACTCTTTTTTAAGCAATCTTGTGAAAAGTGAAAAGCACTCTGCTCTTGGCGAGTATGAGCTGTTTCTCAAATTCAGAGAGATTATAGAGCCAGAGATGCCCCGCCTGATCCTTTGCTCTCTTATCTGTGCAGCTCTATCCGGAGCTGTCTGCTACAGCATCCACACGTTCATCCGATTCTTTGTATTCGCATCGATCGGCGCTCTCTTCCTCTCTGGCCCGGGCTGGGACATGTTCATGCAGATGGAGTCTTCCAGAAAGTTTTTCATTGTGGTGGGCAGCATAGCTATACTTTTGGTTCTCTTCAGAGTCGTTCAGAGCAGCATTGAAAAGTATCTTTTTCTAACGGTGTTTGGACTATTTGGGACTTTATTTGTGCTCCTGCCAGTATCCGAAATTCTGCTTTTGGGGTTTGCATGCCCTGCTTTTATTTTGAACTATGGCTCTTGCCTGGTCTGCAGTAAAATTCCTCTGAATGTTGAGTATACAACCATAGCTGCAATGACAGGACTTTCCATCTACATGCAGCACAGCATAAGTAAAAAAAAGAGATACATACGCAGATAAAATAAAACGGTAAAAGAGTTTTATCTCGTGTGGCATAAATGATCCCCTGCCTAGTAGCGATGCTATTATAATCTGAGTTAAATACCACAGCTCATTTTGCACTTCTTTGTAAATAAAATGAAAATATTATAGCGATTATTTCTCTCAATTGATGTAGAACAGTCTATAAACATGCGCAGCGCCACTTCATCTGCAGACTGCACTCTCACAAAAGATGGAAATGTGCTTGAGCCATTACACTTACTATCACAGCACATAGAACTGCTCTCTTGTGCATTTTCAGCTACATAGGTTTTCCCTATCTAAAATGTCTGGAGATAGAAAGGCCTGCAATTTGAAAATGTGTCTGTTTATGCTGCCTTTACCAATCAGTGCACTCTCTCCTGTTCGCTGCTTTCTCTGCCAGCTGTTGGTTTTCGCTGCTCTATATTTTTTTTTAATTTTAGCACCCCAGATGAAAATTGAAGAAGTCTGCCCAGTGAAATTTATAGATATTCTGTCAAAAGCACTCAAGGAGGAGAAGCAGCTAGAGAAGCCAGAAGAGGCAGCATACATCAAAACCGGACACGGAAGAGAAATGCCCCCTGACAGCGCAGACTGGTACTACGTCAGAGCAGCATCCATACTTAGAAAGCTATACATGGAAGAGCTGACCAACCCAGAGAAGAGCAAACACGGCTTTGGAGTGATGTGGTTCGCAAGAGTCTACGGAGGAGCCAAGAACAACGGACACAAGCCATCTCACACAGTCTCAGGATCAAAGAGTCTCGTGAGAAGAATCCTTCAGTCACTTGAAAATATTAAACTAGTTTCTAAGCTGTCCATGGGAGGAAGAAAGCTCTCCCCCAACGGACTATCATATCTCCAAGGCATGGCAGACAAAGCAGCCAAAACGGCATAAATAAACGTATTCCTTTGATTAAATTTAGACTCGATTGAAATTAGTAGCACTGCAGATGCTCAAGAACTGGAAAGAAGTCGCCCAAGCGTGGGAGCTTGGCAATTAATTAATTAAATGAAATATTTTTTACAAAAAATAATAATGCAAGTTAGTTACAAAGCAGCAGAAGGATTCTTTCTTCTCGTGCCAGTTTTGCTGTCTTATGCGTTTAAGGGTAAATTAAACGAGATCATCACGGCCCACGTGCTCTATTTTAGAATAGCGTGCGTTATCTCCATTCTCATAGATCTAGCCATCTCCTACAGAATAAAAAGCAGAATAGAGCTCCACAACGTGAAGACAAAGATCAAGTTTTCTTCAGATGACTACATCGTGATTCCAAAAACCGTTGCAAGAGACGAGCAGAAGAGCGAAAACGGAAAGGCACAGGAAGAGCAGGAGTTGGAAGAGCCAGAGGTTGAGATGACTGTTCATGACTACGACATGAAAGTTATCACTTCGCACATATCTCGCGTGCTTTCCAATGCCGCAATACACCTCTCTCTGCACATTTTCATGAAGAACACACAGCCGCTGCTGATGCTTATAATAAGCCCGCTCAAGCATCTTATTGTGTTCCCTCCGTACATTGAGTATGTCATGGGATCGTCTATGCTGAGGCCGTTCTCCAGGAACCTGATCTTCGGAGCAGAGAAGAGACATGTATCAAAGAGCACTGCAGCAGCAGAGGCCGCAGTAAGCGAGATACCAGAGAAAGAGCTGAAGGTTAAGAAGGAGGAATAGAATAAATAAAAAATATTGGTCTTCTTAAAGCGAGATTATCTGGAGAGTGAGTTATCGGCACGCAGTTATTCAACTGATTGCTAGAATAATTTGGTTTTTATTTTATATTGCCACTTCGCTGTCAGTATTTTTTGACATTTTATCAAAGACAAGCTTGGAGTTTTTGACTCTTGGCTCTTTTTTCACAGACTCTTTTTTGATAACTGCCTTGATGAGGTTCTTGGTGACTGCTCTGACCTCTGCGTTGAGGAGGGCGTTCTCTGCGTCTATGAGAACACGGATCCTCTCGTGTCTCTCTTTCCACTCGGGGAGAACCTTTGTTACCTCAAGAATGTACCAGTCTACGTTGTCCATTCTGAATATGGGCTCTTTATCGATATTGCCAATAACGCCCACCTCTTCCAGGGCCTCTTTTCCTGCTGAGTAGTATCCTTTTTCGTTTTTTTCTTGGCCTCCCTTTGGGAAAATAAACTTATCAGAGTGTCTTCCGTTTACTATGAACACCTTTCCGTTCATTATGGGAATGCACCCCACCATGTTTCTGTTCTGCTTTGACTTGGGCATGCGGCGGTATGATCTCATGGAGCTGTTGATGCTGTTAGTATCGTCAGCTGGGGCCTCGCTGTGCTTTCGCCTGAGGAAGATGGGCCAGAGGACAAAAAGACACACGATGCATCCAGTGACTACACTTATAATTTCTTTTTTCATTGAGAAGCCTGTGTTCTATGTATTTAAGTATTAGAAGAGAGTTTCAAAACATTTGGAAACAATGTGTGTGCGGTTCTATTGGTTGTGGGTGAGGAAACTGTTTTAGATTGCTGTGATTAGATCGCATTAATATTTGCACGCTGTTACTGCACATTGTATGCTGTGCTGGTGGTGTCTTGATTAGTTCGTTATTTTTCTGTCAAATGGGATAAAGTGTTTTTATTTGCACTAGGCCTGTCCATGGAGAGTTTAGAGTATTTTTCAGCACAAACAGCATGGTGACACATGAAAATCTTTGAAATGAAATGCTTTTATTGCCAGCCAAATAATCTAGATGATAAACCCCACTACAAAACTCTTTTGTGTAAATACGAGATAAGTATACCTTCTGTTACAACTGCTAAATAAAGAATAAAAGTTTTACATGCTATAACCAAGTGAGAGTATGTAGCTAGATAGTGATTGTTGTTTATTGGAGTATCCATCTTTAGAAATATGGGTTAGCTGATGAAAGGTTAGCGTAGCTAATTGATAATACCAGGCAGCTAGCTAATGAAATGCAGCTACATCACTAGTGCATTTAATGATCAGAGTTACAAAAATCTTTCATGTGAATAGTTAATGGCCTTTTCCCATGGAATGAAGGCATAAACTGCTCTTGTGCTATGTGGTGATACTGTAACTCAAAGAAAAACAAATAAATAATAGATAGATAGAGAAAAATAGCAGACTTAGCTACAAATACTTTTTCGCATCTCATGCCCCTGCCGATAGAGCACACAGAGCCTTCTGGAACTGGAGCACATTGGTGAGCTGTTTAAAGCTGAATATTGCGCCGGAAATCAGCAATAGATAGGCATTGTGAAAATAGAGAATGTTCAAAAAGAAAACCTCTGCTCCAAAACACGTAATGAATAGAATGGCTTTTGTGTAGTACAGAGATAGCACCTTATCAATAAACCCTGTTTCTGAATGAGACTTATGCGAAGTTTTATTAACACATCTGCTTACAATGCAGAACATATGAGCCACCAAGTCCAGTACAAGACACGGCGCGAGGACTGGGAAAAGATGGGGATACTTAGAGACAACCCGAAGAGTCAGCACACTTGACGCGGCTCTGTCCACTGCCATGTCTAAAATGTATCCAAGCTCAGACTCCTGTCTAAAACATCTTGCCGCAAATCCATCTAGCGCGTCCAGGATGTATGAAATACTGTACAGCCCAACAAAGACGGGCGTGCTGTTGAAAATTGAAATGAACAGGAAAGCCAGCCTAAAGTATCCTATGATATTTGGGATAAACAAGGCTGTGTTCCTTTTCTGAGTGTTCTTGGAGTCCTTCTGCATAAATAAAAACTTTGAGCTCTTCTGCACTTTTTATTCTATTTTTAAGAGAAACAAATGAGCTGCAAGATTCTGCTAAAAGCTGCTCTGTATTCTTCCCAAAGCTTATTTACAATCACTTCTGATCACACATAATACTGATGATGTACCGTCTAGGATACTCTGCTTTTATTTAGCTTTTTATCTATGCTTTAACTGTCTTTTATTCTTATGTTTATGCATCGTTCTTTTTCCATTAAAGCTTTCTAAACTGTGATTCTTTTGCACCTTCTAAATATAACTCGAGGAAAGCAGAAGCGTGTGTACTTCTGTATACTGTACCCAATCCAGTCAATAAAAGTAAAAAGACAATCCGATCTATCCACCAGTAGCTAGCCAAAAGAAAGAGACTATTTCATATGAACACACTGCCACTGTGAGCGATAGGTGCTTTGAACTAAAATAAAACCTAGAATAAAATTTATTGCTTTTCTTCTGGAAAGTGCTTATAAAATTATGCATCATTTTTTTATTTTATGCTCTTCTCAAGCGCTTTCACAGATACTGTAAGCTCCATTGCGATTACGTGCGTCACCTCGATGGTCGTGTACCATCTGTGTGTTGTTGCCAAAAGAGAAATATGCAAAATTTTGTTTCCAAGTTCATTCAAATCTTCCTACAGTGTTAATTTTGGAAAAATTGATCATTATCTGGAATCAGCAGAATAGGAACACTGATGTATTTGAAGGTGCGCCATGCACCTCCCCCTATAATAAACAGCAATTCTCAAGCGGTATTGTCTATTTTTCTGTTTCGTCATTTGGAGAAAAGTATTTTCTCTTCTTCAGAAGCCACAACTTTTCTTATTATGCAGAGGAGCTGAATATTCTTGCTGTTCATCCAAGAGTTTACTGCAATGAGTAAGTTGAGTGTATTCTGTTTTGTTTTTCTCCAATCTAATAGATGCAATGTGTAAATGTCTGTTCCATCAAATTTAATGCAATAGAGTGAGATAAAAAGATAAAATTTATTTTATGCTTTGATAGAAAATGAGCGTCTCTTTGCGGATAATAGCAGTGCTGGGTATAGCACTAGCAATGGCAAGACTCGGGCATGAGAGCTTAGAAGCACAGGATCCTCTGGAGGACAGCTTGAGAGCTTTTGATGCATCCTCTGATAAAATTGATGATGCTGCGGTGTATTCTTCACTGTTTAGCACAGAAAGCTTGGAAATAAAAAACAGTCCTCATACTGTCTTAAAGGAAACTCTATAGATGCAGTTTTATTCTCGGGTTATATTTTCAGTGGACTTCTTATTTTACATTCAAAAAAGTAAAGGAAGAAAATAAAATAATGTCATTTTAAATGCATATACCTTAATCTACTGTGCTTGGAATGTAGCTCTTCTTCTCAAGAGAATAGCTGCTAGTTCGTGCCAGTAACTTTTATCCTATTTTTTGAAAAGCTGTTCAGTAATAGTACTGTTACTACTATCAAAATAGCACCCAAGACAAGGATTTTAACTATTTCTGCAGATGTGGGCTTTCTTTCGTTATCTGCTCCACTATCATTTACTTCATCATCCTCTATTACTTCTTCATACACTGTATTGTTTATTTCATCTTCTACTGCCTTTATTCTCCTTATTGTTCTAAACTCTTCTACTTTTTCGATTATGCACTTTTTCTGCACTGGGTTTAATATGGGCAGTGTATACTTTATGTTATACAGAAGTCTATATATATTATTGGACTGTAGTTTCACTCTCTTTATATCGCACTCTAACAGGTATATATCGTTTTTTAGAACATTAATACTGCGTGTTGTCTTTTCTGTCTCTTTTCTGTCCTTTTTTTTGACTGCTTGGTCGTATTTTCTTCTTTTTTCTTCTAAAGCCTGTGTCTTTTTTTCTACCTTTTTTTCTAATTTACTTATGTTTATATCTGCATTTGAAGCTGTGTTAGCAGTTATGTATCTCTCGTAAAATTTGCTTAAATTAGTGTTTATATCTAATATGTCTAGCCCATCTGTTCTTGTCAAGAGTGGAATGTCACTTTTTGCGTATTCTACTGCTTTGATCATGCTATTCTGTAGCTTCTTTCCAAGTACAATTTTTGGTATATCATTTTTAATAGAGAAGAGCAGGCTCAGCTCTTCTGGCGAGAGCACTTTGCGTATTTTACCAACTATATCCTCTCTACTCGCTTTATTGGTTTCCATTTCTCTGATCTTCTCAACCAGTTCAGCAATTTTGTAATATTTTTCGCAAAAAAGACTCAGCCCATAATCTACCAGTGGCACGCCAGTGTCTTCGTATGTGGTGCTATATAGCTTGTCTAGAGTGTAGTATGTGCTGTCATCTGAGTAGTTCTTTAAAACTCTAGCTGATTGAAGTAGTAGATTAAAAATATAGTTTAGAAATAATCCATCTATACCAGCTGAAGTAAAACGAGCTAAGCTTTTCAAGTTGGGAGGAGTGTTTGCATCATCTATCTCCAGGGTGTATGTCCTGGTGCTTGGGTCTGTGCTCTCATCTTCATCTGTATTGTTTTTTCTGCGAATTCCATGCTTTGCACTGTATATAAATGGGTTTGGTTTTACAAACTTATCAATTAGAGAAATAGCCTCAGATTCAATTGGTGCACTCTTTCCGGTCTTCAATGCCTCGTGCAATTTGTCCATGTCCTCTACTTCATAAGTAGCATCTATAAAGTACCGATATATGTTATTTTTGACTATGTCTAAGATGTCTTCTCTCTCTTCTTCGCTGTGCTCATCACTTTCTATCTTTAGATTGTCTTTGAGTATGTACTTAAGTATAAACAAGTGGCTTATCTTATTCTCGCCTGCAACATACTCTTTCATAGCATCTGCACTATTGATGGACTTGCACGCTTTTATTATTCCGTCTATATCTATCTTTAGTTTAGCCTCCTTCATACAACTGCTACAAAATTTTAATTCTAGAAATAATTTAATTCTTCGGTTATCCATTCTATTGGTCCTTTTCTGCAGCTCATTGGCAGAATTTTTTAAAAACATCTGATTGGCTTGTTGAACAAAAAGCAATATTGGCTGCTGCGCTTTCTGAGACCAGAAAAGATGCACATATCAAGTGGTTTGCGATACAGAGAGACAAAAATACATCTCAACTTGAACCTTAAATAGAAAAATGATTTTTTTAGCATGGGAAATCAGAAATTAAGGGAAATGCTGGCTCTAGGCACAGTGCTTCTTTTCTTCTTTATTACAGAGTGCCAAGGAAGCGGAAATGCTCTTGGCGGGGAGAAAGATAGCTTTGCTGGCTTATCTATAGGAGAAAAAAGAAAAGCAGATGATGTAGACAGCTCAAGGGATGCTCTTGTCGACCAGCCTGCATCTGAGAATAAAAAGCAAAAAAAAGAAGATCGTGCCTCAAATAGAGCATCTGGTGTTATTTGCCCGCAGCAGGAGATTGAAATCACGATGGAGGATGCTGAGCAGCTAGACGAGAATGATGGCCAAGCGCTGGCCTCTGGTTCTAACGAGGCAGAGGACAAAAAAAAGACGCTAGAAATAAAAAATCTTGATCTCAGACTGTGGAACGACAGAAGACTGGAAAATAAAAGAAGAAAGGCCTACAAACTAAGTTACAAATCAATATACACATGCGACACTTCTAACACCATGTCTAAAGCAATCGGGAGAAAGTATTTCCGAGAAAAACTTAGAAACGATATTGAAGTCTATTCTACACACATCTTTCCATCAGTGGAGCAGAATCCACTGTGGTATTTCATTGCAAGCGAGACCACAAACATGAAGTCTAAGTACAAAGACCTTTTGGGGCTGAAAAGGCTGTTTGTGGGCAAAGAAGACGCTAAATACACGGAAATACTGGAAAATCTCAAAGGATACTATCCCGGAGTGTTTGACGACATGCTAGCGTATATGCAAAAACACCTTGCAATGAAAGTTCGCAAAGAGAAAAACCTAGCTGCCTGGGAGGAAACCCTAGGAGACATTTACATCCGAAAAGACATTGAGCCAAACCTCTATATCTTGAAAAAACAGGAAGAGATTGCCCAAATGGACGAGAAATACCACGAGGTAGCGCATGCTTTGCACATGATCCTAATACTACCGGAAGTGTACCAGGACTTTTGCACAATGCACGAAAATCACATATCCAAGGTTCGGATGTCAACGGATCCGTATGCAAACAAAAAAAAGAAAAACATTCTCTTGCTTCTATGCGAAATGGCTAAAAAAATAGAGAATAGCGATGAGGGGACAGAGGGTATATGCATAAAGCTTTATAACACCTTTGCAGACATATACAATGAAGAAAAAATGGCAGAGCTAACAGCTGCTGATCTGTACAGAGACATGTATGTTCTCATTGGAAAGTTCTATGAAGAGGCAGATGTTTTTGGAGAAAAAAATAAATACGTGCTGGAAGGAAAGTGCATAATAACAAATCAGAAGTACATGAAATGCCAAGTAAAAGCAGACATATCGGCAGAAGAGAGGAATAGAAGAGTTCAGAGCTCAGAATACACACCTGAAGAGAACAAATGGGGTATTTCATCTGATGTGCACGCTCATTATCATGTGTACTATGTGGACAACGGTACAAATCAGCTCAGACTGCTCTGTATGCCTGTGTATGCGGATGCTGAAGGACAGGAGCACTACCTGCACACAATCAATGATGTAGTAAAACATATAAAAATGCTGTACGGAATTAAGAAGAAATTCGATGTTATACACCCGTTTATAGTAAAGACGGAAAGCAGAGAGTGGTCGTACATCGAAGAGAAGGAGAGGAATAAGACAATAAAAGACTTAAAAGACCTCGAAGAGTGTGAAGTGGTGTTCTACCGCATAGAGGAAGACCTAGAAAGAGCAAAGTTTACTTTTGCAGAGTTTTTGCCTTTCAAACACGAGAAAAAAAGCAGTATATGCATACCGCTCTTCCTCACTCCTTTTATGCGCTCTGCTGTGGAGCTGGGGCCTTTTAAAAAGAAAAAAGAGCATTCAGAGATAAATCCAGTGAAAATCAAAGACACAGCACCTGATTTGTACGAGTACAACAGCAAGTACAAGGATTTGAGCTATTCAGATGTGCACAAATACTACAGAAACCTATACATACTGTCTGGCAAAGAAAAGCTGAGAACTCTTGGGTGCTACATTATGGACTGTAAGACCACTAAACACCCAGATGGTGCGGTTGAGGCTGTGTGGTATGTAAGAATGCCAAGCAGTGTGAATTCGTACACACATTGTATGCTGGACAGGACTTTTAGAGAAGAAGAAAACATAAAAAAGTTTAACGCGTTCGTCAAAACAGTAGAATCAAGAGAGTACAACAAGGACAGTGAGATGCAGGCCTTCTGGCTGCAAAACAGCCAAATATCAGAGGATCCATTGGAAAATCAGACAAAAAAGATACATGCATGGCTGTTGAACAGACAAGACAAGAAAAATGCGCCTAAAAAGAGTCTGGAGCGCCTCATATTTGAGATCAATGAAAGAAAAGAAAAGCTGCAGGAGATAGAGCAGCACCAGAAGAGCCTGGGCGCAATGAAAAAGTATCTCGATACATATGAAACAGCACGAGAAAAGAAAACAGCAGCTTCTTTGAAGTACACTAGAAAGAAAAAAATAAAAGATCTGTGCCAGGAGCTCTACACAAAGCTGTCCAAGAAGCCTAAACACTTGGAGACAGATTTTATAATACTCCGCAATGTAAATCACAGTAAGTCCAATCTGTGTGCACACAACGAGATCCTTGACACTTTAGTCACGCGCTATAACAAAAAAATCAGCGAATAAACAGTGTTCTTTTAACTTCCACCCTATTATCCATTTTTGAGTTGTATTATCTGCATTTGTAGCCTACTGATGATATGAACAGTCAATGATGGTTTATTGTGTAGATAGAATCTATGTATAGAAGTGTATGATAAGATTGTCTTTTGTTACTCCATAAATATAAATATGTGTGCTTTGTTAGTTAAGTTAGCTATTAGATGAGTTGGGGAAGTAAAAAATAAAAATATATTCAAGAAATAAAAGTGGTATTGGACAGAGATTTACTCTACTTTTTTTGTTTTAGAAGAGTTTTATTTTGCATTAGAAAAGAAAAAGTAGCAAGTAAATGTAGAGAGGAAGAAAAAGAGTGAGAATAAATCAGAAAAATAATAATGCATGGCAGAAGTAGCCAACACACTAATTATAACAGTAGACGTGCTCAAAACCTAAAACTAATTTATTTTGACATTAGCTGGCTGCGGCCAGATAGCTCAAGATATATTATGTTTATCCATGTTTCGTAGTTGCCTGCTGTCCATGACATGATATAAACTATCGTTGTCACTGTTTGCAGCAGTTGTTGGCTTGCTCTTCGAATGATGGTTGACATATGCCATTGATCCGAGTACAAGAAGGCCTCCAGCTAACACTTTTCCAAGCGTGCTTGTCCGGGCTGATGCACCTGTTGTGCTAGATCCTGTTCCGTCAGACATGTTAAGTGTCTGGTGCTGCTCAACTGGCTTATCCACATCCATTTTTTCTACTTCTTCTGCTTCATCGGTTACTACTACTTGTACGTTCAGTAGATCTGCAGACTCTTTTATCTTCTTGAGTAAGTATTGTTTCTGAACTGGGCTTACGCCAGACAATATATTTAAGATAGCTCGAAGAATACCAACATCACGACCACAAATTAATCTTACTTTTTCAATATCAAAGTTTGATAAATATATCTTATTATTTAGGAAATTAATTTCACGCAGCATACTTTTCATCTCTTCTTCCTCTTTTCTTACCATCTCTTGGTACTCCTGCGAGCTTGGATCAAGCTCAGTTGTGTTTTTCCACTCTGCCAGACTCTTTTCTTTTTTGGACCACTTTTCTTTTTCACTTTTAACAGATACATGTAGTATTTTCCTTTCATCACGTAGTTTTTTTATTTTTTCAGTCATTATTTCTAACAAGCCATCATGTTCACTTATATAGTCTTCGCTAAAGTTGCTCAAGTCTGCTTTTATCTTCAGCACCTTTTGTTCACCTTTTCCACCTAGTAGATCAGTTCTAGTTGCCATGCACTCTAGTGCCTTAAGTATAGGGCTGTGTATCATTTTGTCAAGTATAATTTCCCCTTTGTTATTGAGAATAGAAAATACTACTTCTAACTCTTCATTTTTAAACAAAATGCTGAGTTTTTTAGGTATATTCTGTACGTCACTGTTGTCAGAACTTTCTATTTCTTTGATGTACTTAATTAGAACATTGATTTCATTATATTTCTCGTAAATAAGCTTCAGTCCATAGTCTACCAATGTAACGTTATCTTTTTCTTTTGTGTATAGATCGTCTAGACTGTAGCATCCTTTTACAGATGTATACTTTTTAAAAAGCTCCATGCCTTTTGAATCCATTGAATTCAAGACAAAATAAGAATTCTGTTTATCCAGAATCTCTGAGGTAACTTGAAGTATATTTTCCAAGTTTGCATCATCAACCATCAAAGTGTATGCTCTAGTGCTTATATCAAGCTCTCCATGAGAAAGAGCTACACTATCTAGTTTGTCGTGTATGTTAAACTCTCTATTTATTCCATGCTCAGGATTGTATATAAATTTATTTGGATTTATAAGTTCAATAGCTGAAGACATAAATACATATCCAAACATTTCTAGAATTTCATACCATAATGTAGAATTTACTATGGGCATAGGAATTCTTTCTTCATTTAAACTGTATATAAGGTATTGACAGGCATCATTCTCGATTATCTTTAGAATGACCTTCTTCTTCTCTTCACTAAGCTCCTCGCTTTCTATCCTTAGATTATCCTTAATTATGCGCTTTAGTATATTTATATGGCTTATCTCTTCAACTGATGTGATGGATGTGTCTTTTCTATCCATAGACTGGCACTTCTTTAGTATTCCTTCAACATTGATTGTTAGTTTTACTTCTCTCATTGTCATTGCGAAATTTTAATAGCAAAAAAATATTTTAAGGATCAGGGGCTTCCCAAGGCGGAAATATTTTATTTTTATTGTATGTGCTATATTCAACTAAAGCAGAGCAAAGTGCAACCAAATGATTAAAGTTAAAAGATGGTAAAAAGTTGTCTGCATAAAAGACGTAAAAGATATAATAGTAGAAGTGCTCAAAACCTAAAACCAATTTATTTTGATAGTAGCTGGCTGGGGCCAGATAGCTCAAGATATATTATGGCTATTCATGTTTCTCAGCTGTCTGCTGTCCATGACATGATACAAACTATCGTTGTCACTGTTGGCTGCAGTTGTTGGCTTGCTCTTCGAATGATGGTTGACATATGCCATTGATCCGAGTACAAGAAGGCCTCCAGCTAACACTTTTCCAAGCGTGCTTGTCCGGGCTGATGCACCTGTTGTGCTAGATCCTGTTCCGTCAGACATGTTAAGTGTCTGGTGCTGCTCAACTGGCTTATCCACCTCCATTTTTTCGGCTGCTTCTGGCTCATCGGTTACTACTACTTGTACGTTCAGTAGATCTGCAGACTCTTTTATCTTCTTGATAATGTATTGTTTCTGAACTGGGTTCAAGTCTCTTAAAGGGCGTAAGAGATCCATAGTAAGAAAATCTA